TGGTTACATCTTTTCTGTAAATATTTTTATTGCACCATTTTGACCTTTTTAGTAATAAATCCTATTTTCTGAAAAGTGTTGAACTGTTTCTAAAGCTCTTTCATGCAAACTAAGAATCCCTGTCTCTGAAGAGTGATACTGTGTGTTTTAAAACCTCTGGATACATCTGTCTGCAGTGACAGTGTGTATACAGATGCTTATTCAAACATCATAGTGTTACTGCTAAGATTTGTGAGTTTCCTCCTTCTCTGTAAAAAGGTGGTGGTGGCAGTGTGAAGGGTTAATTGCGTAATTAACCTGACCCAGTAACAATCGCTCTCAGGCTATTAGCACCTAGATTGGGGTCCAGTGAGCTGGAAAATCTTGGTGCAGGGTGCAGCTGAGAGTGGCATTTTTAACGCAAGTGGCAGCACAGTTTTAGATTGGCTAGTCCTTCGGTCACAAGTTGGTGAGAAGGGCTGGGGTCTGACACTGCGCCCATCACAAAAGTGGCTGGTAAATGTGACATATTTACCAGATGCTTCCTCCACTATCCATCCTGAAGGATCATATTGTGTTCTTGCAGTTCCTAGTAGAAAGAAGAGGAGGGAAACCGGCAGAACTGTGATGGTAGAGGCACACAAGGGGGCCTGGGCAGCAGGGGGAAACATATGGTGGAAAGGGAGGGTAATGGGTGGGTCATGGGCTGCACCCAAATTAAATGTATGTATTTTTTTTCCACAAATTGAGCTTTCTTTCGGTGGTATTTGATCACCTGTGCGATTTTTATTTTTTGCGCTATAAAAAAAAGACTGACAATTTTGAGGAAAAAAACAATATTTTTGACTTTATGCTATTAAACATGTCCAGTAAAAAATGTTTAAAAATTTTCTGCTACATGTCTTTGCTAAAAAAATCCCAATACGTGTAAATTAATAACTTGTGAAAGTTATAGCATGTACAAATGGCAGTATAGATACTGGGATTTTTTTTTTGTGCTAGTAATGGCGGTGATCAGCGACTTATAGTGGGACTGCAGCAGGCATTCTGACACTGGGGGGAACCGACTTGGTGTCACTGACATCCCCATTGACACCAATTCAGTGATCAAAAAAAAAGCACTGACACTGTACTAATGGCACTAGGCAAGAAGGGGTTAACATGAGAGGCAATCAACTGTTTGCTGGGAGTTTTTTACTGGGGGGAGGTGTGTGCACTGCCATCCAGAGCAGTGTGCCTGGACCAACAGGGAGGAGGACTGTTAGTAAACAAATCAGTCTTCCTCCCCATCGGAGATGCTTGGTAATCACTGGGCCAGTAATGGCGGCGTGGGTAGGGTGTGCGCTCCCTATTTGGAAATACAAACTATATACAGTATATACATGATTTTGTAGCAGTATATCTGCTATAGGGCAGTCAGGATGTGGTTACTTTCACTGCACACTGTGAGCTTCTCATAATGTATATTAGAAACTTCAGCATGTTAGATGGAGCCCACCTTATTTCCAGGCTTGAAGACATCCATCATAATCAGCATCATTATCCAGCACTTTTCCACCAAGCCTTACTATCCCTGGCCCACCCCTTTCATTCATTATATTTCAGTTCTTTCAATTATGAAGGCTGAGTATCACGTGTGAGCTTTATCTAGGGAAGTCTGAATGCAAATTCAGTCTATCTAGGAATGTGTATTCCTCCAGACTGACATACACCCTTCAAGACATTTTGATATTTGCATAAGTCTTTTCAAGACACAATCCACAGCATCTAAGAGGGCTGAGAGGTCTTGATAGGAATACTGAGTGCTGTGATGTTTTCAGGAAATTATGTACAGCACTGACCCCTCCCACCAGCCATGATCTTCCTGAAAAGCAAAGAGTCAGGGATCACTAGATTTAAAATAAGGTATATAAGGGGTGTGGCCAGCAGCCATATGGATGGCCACTTGTTAGGAAAGTTCCAGGAGCACACATGCGGTCAGTTGTATCTTCAGCAACATGGGGCAGCTTTTTGCTTTTCAGCCAGCACCAGTGAGCCACCAGACACTCACCCACCATGATGAGGAAATAGAAAACCAGAAAAAGGTCATGCAAACTAACTGAATTCTCCACTGCAGCAAGTCTCCTGCTTCCTCCACCATTGAGTCCCAAGGCAGAGCGCAACTGACACAGCTTTCACAGACAATTTGCCATGGCCACAGCAGTCGCTCCTCTCCATCAGAATTGCCATTCCACAACCCACAGAAATCCAGACTGTGACACTCCTCTATGCACCACCAGGAATGTGAGCATTCTGATTAATATAATTCACGTGAGAACACTAGGGAGTTCATAAAACTGACTGATGATTACCCCACTACTAGAAAGCCCACCAATACCACCTTGAAGGATATGTTGGGGTCTTTGAAGGGGTCATTGCATAGAGACATGATATCATTTGTCACCTAAAAAAGTCTGATGTTTCTGCAATAGAGGATAGAGTGAGTCATGTGGAAAATAAAACGAGAGAATTCGCCACAGAGCACAATGAACTAGTGGATGCACACAATGATATGGAAGAGGAATTGAGGAACCTTAAAGTGGAACCTTACTTATAGAAAAAAAAATTACAAAAAGGCAGGATTTTTAATGCAGGAGAAATAGGTTACAGCATGTCTCATTTGCATTAAAGTTACTTACCTGCTTGTCTGCACTGTACACTAAGCTGTGCATTTCCTGGGTTGTTGCATAGCAGCATTTAAAGTGCTATTCCATACCAGAATTCTCTTTTAGAGCTTTCCCCATAAGTATACCTCCTTGTTATTTTATTCTGTGAATGTTATCCTCAGATGCATTATATGGAGGGGGAAAATAGCTAAAATCCCATTACACTGCTGACTAAACATAAACCTACTGCTTGGCCAATCTCTCTTATTAAAGTGCTCCCCAAGCAAAAAATAATTGGTAAATATGGATATCCCCCTGCCAGCTTATGTATATCTTATCCTATTGTTACAAATTCAGTCTTGGACTCACAGCAGATGAGATACTATGAGATACCTTTTTATTGATACTGTAGGAGAGCACATCTTCTGCCACTTTCACCTTAGATACCTCCCTCCAACAGATTATGCTGTATTCCAGTTTCTGGACTTACCTTAACACTCAGCCCTTAGTAAAAGGAGGCATATCTTGGTTTTATAACTACTTACAATATCATTTTGAGTTCGTCAAAACCACACATGTGCTTGAATTGGAAAAGGTCTTAAAGAGGGAATTCTCACTTATGGAGTGACAACCAGCACTTCTCAATGATTGCAGTATTATAAATTGTGTGCTCCACTGGGATAATCTTCTTAAAGTAATTTATAGAGGATATATTTACGTCACATTCTGTGGGAGTGTAAAAGTGTATGTAGTTTCTGGAACACAGTGTTTTCTTTCATATCCACTGTAACTGGCATTTTATCCTCCCTGTCTCCACATTTAGCTCTTTTGAGCTTGTCTATAGATAATTACCCTGTTCAATTTGAACTGTTATATCCATATTCTGATAGTCTTAACTGGAGATGGCTCCAGTTAAGCAGGTGCAATGTTGGAAGGTTTATTTCATCTCTGTGTATCACCTGAGGCTAGTCACTTTGCTGGTTATCTGTAAGGGTTTTCAACCACTTGAAAGCGTTCTATGCTATGTGGTCAAAATGGGCTCATACAGTATGTTTAATGTTACAAGAATGTAGGGTAAACTATGGGTTATCTTGTTCTCTCTATTGAAACATTAAAATAACTAATTGTGCTTGTTTCTATTGTTCTAGCTGTTCTTTTTTATGTTGTTTATATGCCTTAAGCATTTTCTTAGATACCTACGATGTTTACTATATACAATGCTGGGTAGCTCTACCATATTCTATGTAATCTACCTCTGATTAGAATACTCTTTACATATTCTGTACTCTATCTTGTGTACCAAATGTAAGGACTGGTAAAGCTGTCTGTACTCAAGCATTAATAAAAAACAATTTGAAAATTTTAAAAAGGCATATAGTATAAAAAAGGTATTCTCTAAAACTTTTAGCATGTTGATGGGGAGGGAGAGGAGGCAAAGAGAAACCAGGGAAGCAAAAATATAAGTAGAATAAAAATCACAGGAAGTGACAGGGACACATCATTCTGGCAAAATCAGCAGATACAGCATTTCCTGTACTTCCTGGAAATATTCTTTAGATATGCTTTTCATCATACAGATTTTTTATGCTACAGTTATATATTATTACCGTATTTGCCGGCGTATAAGACGACTGGGCGTATAAGACGACCCCCTACTTTTCCTGTTAAAATATAGGGTTTGAGCTATACTCGCTGTATAAGACTACCCCTCTTCCAACACACACCAAATAAAAATGAAAAAACATCAGATTTGATTTCAATATGGTATGCTATTTCAGTATGGTATTCCAATGATGGGGTGCTATTCCTCCCACTGACACCAATGATGGGGCACGATTCCTCGCTCTGACACCAATGATGGGGCACTATTCCTCCCACTGATACCAATGATGAGGCACTACTCCTCCCACTGACACCAATGATGGGGCACTATTTCATCCACTGACACCAATGATGGGGCACTATTCCTCCCACTGATACCAATGATGGGACACTATTCCTCCCACTGATACCAATGATGGTGCCCCATCATTAGTGTCAGTGTGTGAGGAATAGTGTCCCATCATTAGTGTCAGTGGGAGGAATAGTGCCCCATCATTAGTCAGTGGGAGGAATAGCGCCCCATCATTGGTATCAGTGGCAGGAATTGCGCCCCATCATTGGTGTCAGTGGGAGGAATAGCGCCCCATCATTGGTATCAGTGGAAGGAATAGTACCCCATTGTTGGTATCAGTGGCGGGAAAAGTGCCCCATCATTGGTATCAGTGGGGGGGGGAATAGTGCCCCATCGTTGGTGTCAGTGGGGAGGAGGAATAGTGCCCCATCGTTGGTGTCAGTGGGGGAGGAACAGTGCCTCATCGTTGGTGTCAGTGTGGAGGAGGAATAGTGCCTCATCGTTGGTGTCAGTGGGGGGAAGAATAGTGCCTCATCGTTGGTGTGAGTGGGGGAGGAATAGTGCCCCATCATTGGTGTCATTGGAGAGGAGGAATAGTGCCCCATCGTTGGTGTCAGTGGGGGAGGAATAGTGCCCCATCGTTGGTGTCAGTGGGGGAGGAACAGTGCCTCATCATTGGTGTCAGTGGGGGAGGAACAGTGCCCCATCGTTAGTGTCAGTGGGGGAGAGGAATAGTGCCAAGAGCCAAGCATGGTGTCTGCACACTTACTGGCCGCTCCCTCACTCGATTTTCGCAGGGCCGCTCGGCTCCGCCTCCTCGCCGGTGATTGGTCGCCTGTGTACCTTTCCAGTGCTGGCGCCCAATCACCGGTGAGGAGGCGGAGCCGAGTGGCCGCGCGACCATCGAGCGGCCGAACTGAAAGAAGGAGCAGCCGCGCTTCCTGGACCGGGTCGTCGTAGGACCGGGACCGGAGCCAGGTAAGGTACAGCAGCCCCAGCCCGCCCCTGTACTTAATGTCCCTTCCGCCACCGAAAAAGTGCCGCCCTGACACCGGCTCGCCGTATACCGGCGTATAAGACGACCCCCGACTTTTCAGAAGATTTTCATGGGTTAAAAAGTCGTCTTATACGCCGACAAATACGGTAAATGCAAGACCTGGTAGGCTATAAGAGATGGTAAAATATTTTTATATTATAATGTTTTTGATTAATATTCAGCCTGGTGACTACAATGTAGGTTCTAATTTAATACAATAACATTTGTTTAGTGGTCAATAAGTAAAAGTTCCCCTTCAGGACCATGTTACATTCATATTTAGGGTGTAACATGTTACATGCTCCTATGCACCCACCAACAGAGATCCTCTCTCTGTGACAGGGGGTCTTCTCCCGGAACCCGCTGTCACTTGAAAACAGGCAGGGTTCCACCCACATCATTAATTTCCAGAGATCTGTGAATTAAGAAACTACCATGGCAGACATATGTGTAGTTTGAATGGGCTGCTAGTGTGCTGCTCAGCATGTTCAGAGTTCATTCATTCTTCCTCTAGCTTTGTGACAGAAAGCCCATACAAGGATATGGGAACAAAGGGAGGAGCCTGGCATTACACCTATGGCCTGCTTTTACCTGCAAAAAATATGTACATTTATTTTTATTATTTTTTTAAAGGTGAAATTAACCCTTAAATAATTGTAAACCTAAGGCATGAAATATGAAAAAAAGCATATCCCTCTATAGTGTGTGCTTGTCCCAATTAAGTGTACTAAGTGTCATTACTTTTTGCTGCTTTGTTCCTCTGCTATTAGCTTGATCAAGTTTCTAGTAGATTGTCATTCTCAGCTCTGTTCCTGTGTTGTATGGAGGGGGGGGTGGGGGGTCTCGTCTCTCCAATCAACTCTCAGAGCTCTCCTTACTTAGCACTGCAGTGTGTAATTTCAGATCTCCGCCCCCTCTTTATACACTTTATAAATGTAGCACTTTAAAAGGTTATAGAGAAGAGAAGACTGCAGATAGACATATACAACTTATGCAGGAGGATTTGTTTAATCTGTGTGCATCACCTGAGGCCAGTCACTTCACTAGGTATGTGTGAGGGTTTACAACCACATTAGAGCATCCAGTATGTCTTAAAAGCATTAGTGTGTATCTCCTTAAAATATCTTCAGAAAAAAATAACTTGTGCTGTCATTTATAATTAAGTAGTAAAATTGCTTTCTAAAAATGCTGGATCTTTAATTCCTTGTTTAGTTTTATTCATTTATTTTATTACACTTCATTTGTACAATTCTAAAGAGTAAGCTGAACAACTGCTGGTATCAGCATATTTTTTAATTAGCCCTTAAGTGCTCTACCTTCTCTCTGCCAAGCCTACATTATACATAGTTATTATATTTACCATGATAATGCTTGCTCTTCAGTTTTCTTCAAGCATAATGCAGCTATACACAAAAGTCACAAACAAATGTCTACATGCAATATTAAATTTTCTAGTAAGTTTGTTTCGGTTCTTTGTATGGTTTTCATATTCCGTTTTTAAAGACTCTCAAAATTTTATTAGACAAAATATGAACAGGCACCAACTCAATCTAAAACTTTATTCATTTTGGATAGCCTGGGAAAGAGTTACAATGTCTACTAGGTTTTTATTGTTTTATTCTTCATTGTGGAGTTTTCTTTCACTTTGTGAACCAGGTTTTAAAGGAACAGGAAAGAACAAGCATCAGTAAATATGAGAAAAGGTTCTAACCCTTCATAATACCTATTGAATATTTCTTTGTTGATGTCTGTATACAGAAAGTGAGGGTAAACCTCCCTACTGACATACACACCAATAAAACACGATGTAGGGTCCACCTAAGGGAACAATTATTTATAAAATATACTCTAGGTACAAAAAGGTGCTAGTCAATGGTGGTTAGTGAAGTCTACCAGATGGCTAATCCTATTTTTTTTCAAAGCTGAAAGAGAAGATACTGTATTGCGGGATAAATGGATATACTGGACCATCTGTAAATACACACAGGAAAACTGCTGTTTATTCCATATAAATACAACCTGTGCCTATTACCGTTCTTAAATACTTTGGGGGTTATTTAAACTCCAAGGAGCAGGGCCCTCCTTTCTCTCTTGTATTGAACTGTATTTTTGCTGTATTGTCTCCCGTTATATTGTAAAGCGCTGAGCAAACTGTTGGGGCTATATAAATCCTGTATAATAATAATAATATTTACTAAGACTGGAGAGTGTAAAATCTGGTGCAGCTCAGCAGAGAAACCAATCAGCTTCCAGGTTTTGTTGCCAAAGTTTAATTGAACAAGTTGAGGTTAGAAGCTGATTGGCTACCATGCACAGCTGCACCACATTCTGAGTTCTCCAGTTTTAGTAAATCCACCCCTTTGTTTAATCCTAACCTCTCTTTCTAGGACACAGAAGGAGATACAGACAAGGGAACAATACCTATCATTAGGTTTCCTCAAGATATGACAGTTTGCTCTTGTTCTTTGATTCCAACACATTCTTCTCCCCACTTTCCATCAAATCAACTTTGTGAGAGACAGCTACTGTATCCTACTCACTATTCCAAAGTATTATAAAAACTGAGCCACTCCATTCTCTGTGCACCATTAAAATGTCATACTATTATGGAAATTATTTATTAGTTGTAGATCCACATTATTTATAAGAGGCATGATCACCTAAGGCAGTTTGAATGCATTTTGAAATTGTGGATGATGTGGATATAAGTCATGGACAACTGCTTTGCACAACCTATCTTGACATGCTTTGCATTACATGACATATGAAGTGATCAAATAAATAAAAAAAAATAAAAAGAAGTGTGCAAAGGCTTACAGGTCTATTCTTTAGAAATGAACCAGCACCTGAGTAGAAATGCTGTTCCCCATGTTCCCCATCTGCATTCTGTACAGAAGGATCCTTGGTCTCTGTGTAGAAGTAGTTGTCTATCTGCAGAGGTCCGACAGGCCATCCACTAAGCTCATGCTCTCTCATGATTATGGTGCTCTTGTTCTTTCCTTTAAAGTGTTACTAAAAACAGGGACTCTGCATTCACTATAACTGGTCTCCCACAGTACACACAACATGGAAATGCAATTATTCTAGTAAATATAAACTGCTAAATACCTTTTCTCATCAGCAGTATATATCAGTCTTGTGACTTCTATCAGTGTCCAGATGAGTACTAGTTAATCTTGTAGGAGGAGCTTTCATTCTGCTCTGACTGTCCTATGAGGCTGCATAACCCCTCACCCTCTGTCTGGACAGTGCTGATTGGCCCTGTGCTGATCACATGCATCCTCACAAAGAATAAAAACGCTCTGTGCAGAGTGATCCTAGAGCTCTCTACTATTAGCAGGTGGATTGAGGACAATAGAAGGGGAGGATCAGAGAAGTCAGGATCAAACAGCCTTTTTACACAATGTAGAGAAGGAATCCTTTATGTTCCGCAGTGAGTATAAAAAGCATGCTTTACTGCATATACAGACTGATTTTACTGTTGTGGGTTTAGTGTCACTTTAATGGATCTGGAATGTATTTAATTTATTTAAACTGAAAGTTCAATTTGCCTTTACCTGTATGTGTCAAGTAATTCCAAAAGATGACATCATGTTTCTGTTGAGGCCCGTTTGTTGTGCTTGCAGCTCTGTCAGAATTTCCCACACAATGAAAAACTCCAAACATGTCCTAGCATATGACATGGAATCTCAGAATCCTTTTTAACTGCATTAGACACAGCATTATCAACATCAGCAGAATTTTTCCATGTGCAGAATAGATGAGTAGATTTGTATGATTTCCTTTCATGTTGTTAGCATCTCAAAGTGGCTGTATCCCTGGCAGTAAGTTTGCCACTATAGGGTGAATAACTTACAGTAAATATTAACACCACTTTTGTTGAGAAAAAAGTAATTTCCTCTGAGTAACCAATGTACATTGTAGGGATTTTAACAAACTTTGTTGTAGATTCCTACCTGTTTCTCCTCAGAAGCTGATGCACTTTCAAGGGTTCTGAAAAGTCGCAGTGTCTGCATTATTATTATTACAGGTAATTCTATATCGCCGTCAATGTATGCAGCACTTTACATATATATATATTGTACATTCACATCAGTCCCTAACCCTCAAGGGGTGTGCAATCTAAGGTGCCTAACTTACCTTCATACATACATATGCTAGGGCCAAATTAGAGGGTGGGCGGAAACCAGAGTACCCAGATGAAACCCACATAGGCACAGGAAGAACATGCAAACTCCAGGCAGGTAGTGCCATGGTTGGGATTCAAACAATGACCCTAATACTGCCAGGGGGGAAATGCTAACGATTTAGCCATTGTGTTGCCCTAGCATCCCTTTGGAAGGCATTAATCCTTATGGAGTATTTCACCACAATTTTAATTTTTGGTGCGGGGGGTGCCTAAAAATTGGACTTGTATTTAATTGCTTGTGGACTAGCCAATGCAGATATACTGCTTCAGGGCAGTCACTCTGTGCTGGATCATGTATGATACCTGATGCAGCTCTTCCAAGTAGGGGGCATGCATGCGTGCCCACTGTCCGGGCTGTGCTGTGATTCATTACAGCAAAATCTGATCAGCAAATCTCATCCAATTATTTATGGCCAGAACCACTGATCGGTGAAGCGGATGACAGGACAAAGCTCTATGATTATAAACAACACAGAGCTCTGTCCTAACAGTGGCAATGTCCCACTTTTTGTTTCCCTGCAAAGCAGGGTATAAAAACATGGAAATCCCTTAGTAAAAGCAGCACACAGTAAACACTTAACACATTGTTAGGCACACAGTTAATTCTTTGATTGCCCCTAGATGTTAACCCCTACCCAGCCAGTGTCAATAGTACAGTATCAATTAATA